GAGAGAGAGAGAGAGAGAGAGAGAGAGAGAGAGAGAGAGAGAAGGAAAAATAGTTACGGATGAAGGGAAGAAGGCGCGAAGAGCAGGGGGAAGCTTGCATGCACGGGGCTACACTAAAAAAAATACGTTCTATCCTAAAGCTACTTCAAGAATATGAAATTCAAATGCAATACAAGCGCATGAAAATTCAGAGATCTTTCAAGGGCGGGTCACAGTGGGTGCGGGAAGATCCCTATGCACGAAATGACGCGTCAACGAGAAAAGCGTCCGTAAATCTCGGAATTCCCAACCGCAGAACAAAATTCCTAGCGTGCTCGCTAAGGCACGCGTAATCCTACGTGAACGCATGAATTCCTGAAAAGAAATTGCAAACAAAGGAAACGTCGTCTTGGACACCAGAGGGGCTGACTGGCCGGTGATTCCATGCACGAGGAAGATAACAAAAGAAGGGGGGTCTCGAAACAGAGTAGACGGGTCAGATTAACAAAATTTGGGGGCTTCAAAACATGGTTTAGGCTCGGAAGCTGGTATGTCACATGTTGTCACTGCCGCCACGGATGCCGTGTCAACATAAAGAAATTCTAAGACCCGGCCATCCCCTACCCTTCCCCCAAAAGTTGGTGGATTTTTTTTTTTTTTCCGCTTTTCGGCTTAGAGGTGCCATTATTGGATGGGGTTGGCCACGGAATATCGCCTGTACAATCGGAAAAGCCCGTCGGGGCAATGGGGTCCGAAAAAGTTTTTATAACCATAGGGTGCGGACCCGACTTGTAAGGGGCATTTCCGATTTTCAGGTAAAAGCTCCATGTGGGATCAGCCTCTTAGTATCACGGGGAACCCCGTAGCAGCCACATCCGTGTTCAATGCCTCCAACGAGGGAACATGCGGGGGTCTGCGCCCACCAGAAGGTGGGCCATACGAGCCTGGGTTCAGCCTCAGAGACCATGTCAACTGGAACAATCTCTGCGCCTCCCTCCAGCCTCACCCCCTACGAACGTCAGCATTGTCTGGATAGGCCGGCCAACGGGCTACCTCTCGATGGCGGACATCGAGTCTGCCCACAAGGGAATCGAGCCCATGACCTCCTGAATGCCACTCGTGCGCGGCCGAGAAAAGTACGGCCTTTCCCGCCATGTGAAACAGATAGAAAACGGCCTGCCCTACGCTTGGGGACGACGGCGCGAAAAGCAAAACGGCTAGTCAAGTACAGTTTTTTTTCTCTTTTTTCTTTTTGGGTGTGAAGTGCAGTTTCTTTCGAACTGGGGCCGAGTAAAGGAAAACGGTCTGTTGATGTTTGTAGGGGAAGGGGGGGACCTGAGCGGAGGCACAGGGATTGGTCATATCGCGCATGGTCCCTTCTGCTACTGGCTGTCCCCTGGCCTGCAGGTCGGGAGCAGCCCCCCCATGTTCTCTCGTGAAGACGGTTCTTGCTGCTATGGGGTTCCCCGTATGACGGCAAGGTAGTGTGAGGTGAATTTGAGAGAAGAACGTAGCTTACTTCAAAAAAAAAGGCGCCGTCGGCTCGACTCAAGAAAAAAAAAAAAAAAAAAAAGGCGCCCTTGGCTCG